GGTTTAGCACTCCTTTCTGTAATGTCCTGGTATCGCACTCCTTTTATTCTTATATATATATATATATATATATATACACACACACACTTGTGTGTATGTATTTTCTTCGGTTTCAGATTCGATGAGAGTTATTCAAGCTAGCTGTTTGAAGAAGTTAAAGACTTGTAACTATCCTCACCTCAATCACCACTCAGCTGCAGGCCGATGGACAAGCTTGTTGCACTTACAAATCGAACCGCTCTCTTGCGAGATGCTTGGATGGTTTCAGAAACGGAAGATCGGTGCTGAAGAAGATCCTCGTTACTCGTATTTTGTCATGATAGACATCTAAACTGATCTCAGGTATTGGAACCGCTTCATGAAGGCTTTATTTGGGTTGTTACATTAGGTGCTGAACTTGGAAAACCAACGCTTAACACCATCATCCACAAATTTTGAATGTGCCCAACTTTTGACGACGTAAAGGGTAAAAAGAGGCCCAGAATGTGTGAAATGTGAGCTTCAGATTCCGAAAATATTAGATGCACTGAATGCATAGTACCAGATTACTACCTCTGGTCAACAAATTGTAACTGTCTGATAACGCCTTTCTTTTTTGTTATTCCCCAGAGGTTGAACTCGGTAAACGGTGGCTGTGTGGACCTGGCAGTTTTCCAGACACCGTGCGTTTTAATCCTGTAGCATCCACAACACGTGGACTATCTGAAGTTACACTTACAAATCTGGGTCTAATCTATGGAGCAAGTTGGTAATTGGAGGAATATCCATTTAGAATACTGGATTACTAGATCCAAATCCATTCTATAGGGTGTGGTGCGGTGAGAATCGACCCTAGGATTGGCTATAACCAATTCAACTTTGTCATGCTATTTGCTTGGTTCTCAGTTTTCCTGGTTTTATTTATTCGAATAGTGTGGATGGGCTGCTAAACAAATAAATTGGATTTTTTTCTTTTGAAGAGTGACTTCAATTCATGTCTTCCGAATTGGCGAGTATTCCTACTGTGATGGGAAGCGTTACCACGATGTGGTGTGGCGACTACTTCACCACCCACGAGGTTGGCATGCGCTTAACGCTGAAAAAAATTCTAGGTCTCTTTATAATGTCAAAATTGCAGTTCTAAGGCATTCGTTAGGATGCACAAACTGCATGATCAGGCATCTCGGTCGCCATAACTTCCCCACACCAAATCCGCGACGGAGAGGGGACACACGTTTCATCCCAACCAATCTAACCGCCGAAACGGCGCAAACGAAAAAAAAAAAAAAAAAAACAAAAAACCAGAAAACAAAGAACAAAACCCAGTCGTCACAACTAGCAATTGAAAGACAACTAGATCGATCCCCCAAAGCAGTTCCAAAAGAACTGCATCCAGCCATGAATCATTCCACTTCAACGGAATCGTTACACACCGAATCCTTTACCCCACAGAGAGCACAACATCACAACATCAAACAGTCGAGCATCTCAAAGCCAGACAGAGCAACACACACACACAGACACACACGCTCTTCAGGACGGTGGAAATGACGAACAAAACCCCCAAAAAAGCTCACGAACCCGATTATGCTGCAACAGAGTACCATTCTCTCGCTTTCCAAATGTGACAAAAAGCTAGCGGAAGAAGGAAGAAGCTGAGCCATGTCTTCAAAACTGCCGGCGTCAAGGAAAAGTCCCCCTCTCATCATACAACACACTCATCTAAACCACCTGCAAGAAATTCAGCAAAACCAGGAATCTAGAAGCTCAGCTAACCAAGCACGGATCTTGTAGACGCTTCTGCAGCCACCCACATGGTCGAAAGCCGTGGGTTTTTTTTCGAGGATCAATGGGATTCCAAACTCACTGTTTGGAGTCCACGGGGTTGCCGACTTTGACGAGGAAAACCAGGAGTTCCGATCGAATTGTGTTTCCACGTTTCCACTCATCTTCTTCCTACTTCATCATTCTGTATTATAAGCTGGTTGACTGTGCCCATTGCCGGACAGCATGTGTTTTGTGATGCTGTAATGTTACCCATAATAGCTTCATTGACCGGAATATTCATTTGTTTAATAAGTAGTTGTTGGAGTTTAGAAAATGATGTGCAGTACTTCTGCATACTCCTAACTTTTGTTCTTTGTGATTTTTCACGATGTGATTTATTTGGTTAGTTATGCTAGGTTTGTAATATTTTCACGGTGCAGCTTGTAAGCTTCCTCTGAGTTATACCATTGAATTTCAAAGTTCTTCGAATTGCGTGTGTTTTCACATGTGTGTCTCCTACGGTTGAATACGTTAGATGGTTTTTTTTTTTTTTTTCATTTTTCATTTTTCTCGAAATTAAGCAGATTTGAAGTAATCTGCTCATGGAATCAATATTTTTCTTTCATCATCTAGGTTATATTTTAAACTTAAAATAATAATAATAGTAACAATCTAATGCCATTTTATGTTGTGGGTGGTTTGTGCCACTTTTTAGATCCAATACACATGAAAAATAAATCAATCAATCAATCAATAAAGTCAATTTTGATTTTAAAATTTGAAAAAAGAAGAGTGGCAACCAATTAAAAAGTATGATACTAACCGTAGCACCTTGATGTGGAGTTGATGAGAGAATATTGGCCATGGCCACACAAAAGACTCCATTTCCACCAAACCCTTGTTCCTTGATGTGGAGTTGATGAGAGAATATTGGCCATGGCCACACAAAAAGACTCCATTTCCACCAAACCCTTGTTTCTATTGTCTAGAGCTACATGAGTCATCTTCACCACCAACACCTTATAATGTGGATGGAGAAAAATTTAAGGAGCCAAAGCCAACATTCATGAGAGAAGGAAGGACTCACTCAATTCTCATGGTGGCTCATCTACAACTAGACCATAGTTTCAAATCACTACCATGTATATTGTGCACATAGAAAGGATAATATATATATATATATATATATATATATTTTCATAACATGGAGATTCCCTTGTCTTGTTTCAATTTTGACTTGATTTTTGTGATTATTGAAAAATAAAATAATAAGATTTATGTTTGAATATGTTTTCTAAAATTTATTTGATTTTATTGTAATAAAACTAAAATGTGTGTTGGAATAGATCTAGCTGAAAACACATGAAGTGTGAAAGGAAATTCTTATTTCCAAAAGGCCAGATGCATTCTAAGTGTGAACACACTGTATACTTAGGAGTTTCAGTTTTTTTCTGAAGTTTCTGTTTCTCATGCATTCATTTGTCCCATTTTAGATTGTAGTGTAAATATCCATGTGTTTTTTATTTAATAATTTATGAAAATTTCAAAAATTCTGTAAAAATTTCATATGAAACTTGTTGAACTTATGTCACAAACCAAAAGCAACATATTATGTATCTCTCTTTTACCCATACACATACAAGAATATATATATATATATATATATATATAAATGAATGAATGAGAATTCTCTGTCGGTTTTATCGATGGCAAGGGAGTCAAGGTTCAAATCTGAAGCCCACAGCGGCAACGCATGGACCACCATTCTTGTATATATATATATATATATAGATAGATATATTATTGCAGGTTGGCAGTGCAAGGAAACGCAGTGTTTACACCATTCCTCTCATTCTCCATGGAGGTCAAGGAAGGTCTGCCGAGAGAGGGAAATATAATTGAAATAAAAAACGCAAAACTCAAAACAAAAAAACACTAAAACACAAAAACGAAAGGGGGGTGGACAATGGGGTGTATTCCTGTCAACGAGGGTGGAAGTCTGCAAGGATGGAGTTGAAATGCGTGAGGGTTTCAAGCGCAGCCGGGGCTTGACTTCCCTGGTGGGTTGTCTCCCTTTAGATCTTTTCAACTGGAAGAGATTGTTCCTCATCCGCTTTTTGCCCTCTTTTGAGGCTCCCGAGTTGGACGCTGCCGTTCAGTTGAAAGAAAACTGTCCACATCGATCCTGCAGAGTCAATAGCTGACTGGCCTTCTAGGGCCCCACCATGGGACACTAGACGATCACCCTTGAAGGCAGGCAGGAAAGAAGGCAGGAAGGAAGCAGGAAGAGTATCAACGCAAATGTGAGACCGTAACGCGGACGAAGTTCACATCTCCGTTCCACTTCCACCACACCGTCAAGAAGAGATTCAACAGGTCAGCATTGAGTCTTCACCAAGCCCATGGTGAGGTCAAAGTGAAGAAAGGAGGAAAGGGAGAAAAGAGCCGCAAAGCATGAAGAAAAATTTGGTTCCAGGTTGGACACGGTGATGAACTCCAGCGCCACGAAACCCAAGCACGGTTTCTGTGTTGAACCAAGAATAACCTGTAGCTTCTCAGCGCTTGAATTTGTGAAAAAGGAAGTCGCTTCGAGCCCAGGTCCAGCAGTTGAAGAAGCATTGTCATCTGTGACGTGATCTGAAGAACCATTCAATTGCTCCGCACCGCGGACGGACAATCTGGTGCTAATGCTGATAAAGGCCTGCTGGTGCTTGTGAGTCTGCGCTCATGAGCAAATTCTGAGGACAACGTTGAAGAGACATTCTTAGTATTTATTTATTTATTTATTTATTTATTTTGAAGTTGGAGCGAAGTGGCTAAAGGGGATACAGGGAGGACTCACCAGAGCGGTGAAGAGCAGGGCATTGAGGAGGATTAGAGCTGGGGCGATTCTGGGTGATTTGATTGCACTGGCAATTGTAGTGTACCAGATAGAGGAAGCAGGACAGGTGAGCGTGGAAGTTTTCAGGCCGTCGGATGTGCCCTTCGTCGTCCTCTTGTTCATTCTGCTGACGTTGTAGCTTCCAGCCTCCAACTATAATCACCAGCTCTCAACTTCCAGGTGTCATCTACCATCTGCCGCAGGCTCCTCATTCCGAAGTTGGTCCACAGTTGGTAGCAAGTTCACCATACCCGCGTCGCACCCTTCTCCACCCCAGCTTTCAACAAGGCTTTGCGCACAATCTAGTCTAGCTGTGGTGCCGATTGTCTCGGAAGGAGTCGTTCAGGTTTCAGCAGCTGCTGTCAAGGTAGAAGCATCAAGCCTGCAATTTGAGTGGCATATGTATGAGTGCGGGCATTGCCGAATTGGGAAGCCTCTGTCTGTGTGCAGCTCTTACAGAACGGCCTTTCTCCCGCGTCCGAAGTTCGAGAGTCTACTTTGTGTCGGATTTCCTAGTAAACCAGGAAGGTGATAAATTCAGTGTCGTGTTTGAGTTTGGAGATGCTGCGGCTTTGATTTGGGGAGTGGATTTTGTTGCGAGAAATATGACAAGCGAAAATGCAAAGTTGTGGGCCTTTCTGCCGATGCTTGCTCACTATCGTAGTTAGCCAGCGGTTTGTCAGTAGTTGATTGTTGCGGTTCTGTCGATATTTTGTTTTCGTGTTGGAGGATTTTGCAAGTAGGTTGCTACACTTCTCCAGATAAATTAACACTAACGAGGATTGTTTCTCTGAACAGAGGGGGCACGGCGTTGGCTGGACCAGGAAGCAAGAGTTTCGGAGATGTCTATCAGTGTAATTGCAGAGTCCCTCATTTCCGAGCCCGCGACAGTGTCGATGAAGATGAAGACAGCACAAGCTGAAGTCAGGGAGGCGAGAATCCCACCCACCGCGGTCTCTGAGCCACTCTTACTTGAGTCCCCGATGGAGACGGAGACGGAACCTGCGCAATATGGGCAAGTGCAGGAGTTTATCTACCGGTCCAAGCTGCCAGACATTGACATCCCCAACCACATGCCCTTGGCCGACTACTGTCTTGAGAAGGCAGCCCAGTGGCCCGAGAATGTGTGCTTGATAGATGGCAACACAGGGAGAAAGCATACTTATGGTGAGATTGAGGTCAGCATGCGACGTGTGGCTGCAGGTCTAGCAAACATTGGAGTGAAGCAAGGAGATGTCATCGCCTTGCTCCTCCCTAACTGCGCAGAGTTCGTCCAAGTGTTCCTCGGAGCCGCAAAGAGGGGCGCAGTTATCACCACCGCTAACCCATTCTACACATCCGCTGAGCTCAGGAAGCAGATCTTGGCGTCGGGGACGACAATGGTTGTCACTCAATCCAGCTACGTCGAGAAGCTAGAGGGTTTAATTGTTCAGATTGTTACTGTCGATCAGCACGTTGATGGCTGCTTGCACATCTCCGCGCTCCTGGAGGCCGACGAGGCCGAGTGCCCGCAAGTCGAAATCCACCCCGACGACGTCGTCTGCCTGCCATACTCGTCCGGCACTACCGGACTGCCCAAGGGTGTCATGCTCACACACAAAGGCCTGGTTTCTAGTGTTTCCCAACAAGTCGATGGCGAAGTGCCCAACTTCAACATCACTGTGGAGGACACCATGATGTGCGTGCTGCCCATGTTCCACATTTACTCCCTTAACTCAATCCTCCTCTGCGGGCTGCGAGTCGGCGCTGCGCTTGTGGTCATGAGCAAGTTCGAGCTCCCCAAGTTGTTGGATCTCATCCAGAGATACAAGGTGACCGTGGGGCCATTTGTGCCACCAATTGTGCTCGCGATTGCGAAGAACCCCATTGTGGACAATTACGACCTCTCCAGCATCAGGATGGTGATGTCCGGCGCCGCTCCTCTTGGCAAAGAGCTGGAAGATGCCTTCAGGGCTCGATTGCCCAATGCTGTTCTCGGCCAGGTATCAAAACAATCGATGCAAACATTTCCCCTTTGTAATGCCTACGTAAAAGAAGCAGGAGCATACCAAGTTCATAGCGTGTGCACATTGTTGTCCAGGAGCCCACAGACTTATGTAAGTTTGGTGTTGGGTTGTGAATTTTGCAGGGTTACGGAATGACAGAAGCTGGTCCAGTGCTAGCAATGTGTTTGGCATTCGCCAAGACTCCATTTCCAGTGAAGCCAGGGTCATGTGGTACAGTCGTTCGAAATGCGGAGGTGAAGATTGTGGACACCGAGACCGGCATGTCTTTGCCATACAACCAGCCTGGAGAAATCTGCATTCGGGGACCTCAAATTATGAAAGGTTTGCTTCTGCTCTGTTTTGTTTTGCTCATTTATATATTCAAATGCTGTGCAAAACGCTTCACATTATAGGTCCCTGCTTAGACACCCGTGCGTCTGACAGCCAATAATTTTGAATTTCACTATCTCATGATACAATATTGACGAGGTAGTCGTTTCATTTTCAGGTTATTTGAACAACCCTGAAGCCACAGCCAACACTATCGACAAAGACGGCTTTTTGCACACAGGAGACGTTGCGTTCATCGATGAGGACGAGGAGATGTTCATCGTGGACAGGGTGAAGGAAATCATCAAGTTCAAGGGCTTCCAAGTCCCGCCCGCCGAACTGGAAGCACTTCTGTTTTCCCACCCCCTCATCCAAGATGCCGCCGTAGTCTCGTAAGTTCCGCCATATCCTGCTCTTCACCCTCCCCCCCGCACTTCACCCTCACTAACGACTCGAGAAACTTCTGATGCACCGACTCAATTACGCAGCGGAGACTAACTCTCCCTCTCACATGTTCATGTCCAACAGGCGCAAGGACGACATTGCCGGAGAAGTCCCCGTGGCATTCGTCGTCAGAACTCCCAGCAGCATCATCAGCGAAGAGGAGGTGAAAGCTTACATAGCCGACCAGGTTGTCTTCTACAAGAAGATCCACAGCGTATACTTCGTGGACTCCATCCCCAAGTCCGCATCTGGAAAAATCTTGCGGAAGGATCTCAGAAACAAGGTGTAGATATAACTAGAACCTCAAAACCAATCAGTAGGTCTCATTCTTTCGGTAAAACGTAAGTGACAAAAAAGAAGCGGTATCCTCCCACAATGTACAACCCACTCCATTCTTGAATAAGTGTCCATCTCGAGCCACCCCAAAGAAGCTTTTGGCACACACCACCACTCCACGCACATGAAATCGAAGCTGTGGCCACAAGCAGGGCTGTGTTCCACCGCGACGTCCGTGGCTTTGAGGTTGTGCACAAGTACTGAGCTCGACACTTCGCAAACGTAGCATTGCCGACACAAGTCTGTTGTAGCGGCGACCTACAACGACAATTTTTTTCCCGTGAGAACATAGAAACTGGAATTGTTGGCAGCCTGGATTCCACATGTTAAAGCATGCGTTGACAATTAGTGCCGCCACCGCTGCTGCTGCCCAAGTGGCTCTTGTGGTCCTAGCATGCTTACAGTTCCATGTCTAGAGATATGCAAAGGTTCATAAGCAATCATGCTCCGATGACGATAAAACACTATGAAACTAATTAATTGAAATCCTTCATTCTCATTCCATCTACCTGTGTGTGTGTGTGTGTGTGTGTGCAATATTTGGATATATATATATATATATATATACATAGATACATAGATACATATATAAATCTATATATCGATGACAGATTTTGTGTTGACTCATTGTCTTTGGGATGTCCATCACTCTTTCTTTCTATCTTTCTAGCCACATGACTCTCTATCCTCATGGCAGCTTTTCAGTTCAATCACAGATTTTCATATGCCATCCTTCAGTGTTTTTTGTTTTTTTTTTTTTCTATATTTTTGAAAGTTTGTAAGCATGAGTCTGTCTTGGGTACATCTGTTCACAAGTTTCCCATGGAAAACTTACTTTTTTGTTATGTTATGAGCTCTCACTTTGGCACTTGCTTGATTTTTATAAGCAAAAACATTCTTGTAAGTGGATATGTTCACAATGAAGAAACATAATTATTTAGTACTTTACATTCTAAATTTGATACTCTGTAGACTACAAAATGAACAACCACTTTAATTGTAACAATGTTAATACTAGACTGATACATAATAAAGTCGTAGTATAATAAATTAGATTTTCAAAGAATTTGCGTAATACTGGATTACGAACCAGCTTGTTTTATTTTTCTTGTTTAATTTTATGAAAAAATTATTAAAAAATGTCAGTAGAAATTGTGAAATTCAGTACAAATACTTGTGCAAGTACATTATACACACGGGTTAAATTAAGAGACCTCTGATTATTACATATATTGTTATTATTCTTGTGACATTATCTTAACATGTCATGCAAAACTTCATTAATTTTTATTAAAAAAGAATTCATACTCTACTTCGAATTAGAAAGAGCGATATTCAAAAGTTTTGCACAACATGCCATCTTCACATCAGGCATGAAGAAAGTCCTTTTCACACGTAAGGAGCATTGACAGCTCGAACGCGTTCACATTAAAAGGAACAATGGACAGAGTTTCTTTTATTCCGTTGATTAACGAATGTCGTCCACACGTCGAAGCTTCCGACCACCTACTCAACCCCTCCACGTGGACAGTCCATATCAACCGCAATTAGAATCTGCCGCTGCCCCTGTGGCCCATGGCCGGACGCCACGTGGCTATGAATCCGGCGCCGTCCGCCGGTCGGCGTCTTGGTTGCGGCACTGAACCATAATAATAAAGCTACTACGCCACTAAAACATTTGGTTTTTGATTATACCTTGTTATTATTTTTGCATTGCTGCCTCGGTTGTTGCCCCTCCTTCACCTAGTGGGGATTCGTCCGCGGTTTCCGACGATTGTTGCGTACACTGTCATCGATTCGACGCTTTCGAACAATTTGTCGATTCGATTATATCTTCCATTTTCTGTAACAGTGAAGTGCGTCGTAAGGAGTGTCGGAGTCGGAGCAACTTGAACCTCCAGGAAGTGAAGTCAAGCGTGGTTAACGTGGGAGTTCGTTAGAGTGTTGTGGTAGTGGCGGTGGTATTGGTTGTGATGTGTTCATGGATGTGATTTTGGAGAGGAGGTTGCGAATTGTGCTCAGATGGTGTTTTACGAGGAGAAATTTGCGTCCAGGGGACGAGATTGAGGTGGAAATTGGTCGGAGGGTTGGATTAGTGCAGTGGTCGGTGTAGTTCTGGAAGGCGATTTGAGGGGGTTGAAGCGGTTTTTCTCGGCTTTCCGTGATTTGGTTCAGGCGTGGGGGGCGTTTCGAAGTTGCATTACTCTGGTTATGGTCGATTGACGTGAAGGATGCAGAGGCTTGTGGATACCGTTCTTGGGAATGCCAAAGAGTGAGTGATGCTTGCTTTCAGCGTTTTTTTTTTTTTTTTTTTTTTTTTTCCTTTAATTCGAATTTCAGCCTAATTTGATGACTTTAGTTTATGAGCGTTGGATATCTTTCTCAGAACAAGAAATGGTGCGAGATTGGTATGACTAGTCGCTAATGGCATTATGCGAATTGGATTTCGAAGTCTTTCGAATATTAGCTGTCTCATTTGTCATTTGGAGTTTCTGATTGCTGTTGGTTGCGAAAACTTCATTGGAAAAGAGTTGATGTTGATGCGCTTAAAACTGCAGGTCAATAAAAACATTCACACAAGAATCATTTCAGAACACCGTTAGGGTGATCAATGGATTTTCGGCACTGGTACTTGCGTTCTTGCCAGGAAAAGGGCCCACATTGCATGGAATTCAATCGCATTGTACATTTCGCGCCCCTCGCATGCCGCGATGGATGGAGGAGTAAGTTTATAAAATTTTTAGTCCATTTCAAATCAACGTTATTTTCGTAAAAGAAAAGAAAAGAACAGAAAAATTGCTCTGATTAATTATATGTGGAGAGATTATCCTTCGTTGTAATCATGAGCTGGTGTTTGGTGTTGATTTGTGGGTGTAAGTATAGTAAACTGCCGTGATTGAAAGCGGAATGTGGTTTACAGGGGCGTGTCTTCATTCAATACATTTATATCAGAGTATGACACGGACAGCGAATCGAACAGTGAGAATGAGGATGGATCAGGTGTTGAAGATAACGATAGCACGGCGCTACCTTCTCCCTCTTCGGAGTCTTCTCACTTATCACGAGCTGGTAGTTCAGGAAGACGCCACCGGCGAAACAAGACTCTATTGCAACGGCTATTAATATGGATGATGTGGCCACTACGTTTCTGGTTTTTCATTTTGACTTGTGTGTGGTAAGTTCAGTCTTTTTTTTCTTTCCCCCTTTTTTTTTTTTTTTTTTTTTTTTTTGTGTGTGTGTGTGTGTCTTTGTTTTTTTGTGATATTGATTGCACCTGTCTTTTGAAATTTTTAAATGAAGATGCAGGATTCATGTAAGGGAGGTAGCAGCGTCAACTTTTTATGGTAGTCTGTTGGTATTTTAGGAAAAAGTATACTCTTACTGTTGTAACAGGGCTGGATATTTAATTTAGAGTTGTAAAAGATCATGACTTTACTGTCGTTTCTGAGGCTTTTACGTTTGGTTTGAGCTGGTAGGCGATCTGTAAATCGAAGTTCAAATCATCTCGAAACAATTTCTGAAACCCGCAGGTCAAATTCGGGAAGCTTCAGGAGATTAGCTCGCCGCTTCAGTGGCAGCAGAGAATTCGCAGTGCCAAAGTCAGTGGCTGATCGTAGACGTGGCATAATCGAGGTATATCTCGAAGTCACTCTGTTGCCTGCATCTCAGTGTTCATTAGAAAGCTTGTTACACAGAGCATCGGACTTTTAGTCATACAATGTCCCACTGCTCCTTTTAAGCTTTGCTCTTTATTTCATCAATATTACGTAATTCATTGTCGCAGGACTTACAACTCGTGATAGAGCTTCAAATAGAGCGTGTGTTCGAGGTAGTGCGCTACATAATTCACCATGTTCTATCACCGTTTAAGACATTTGGAGAATTTATCCATTGGGCATTCTTTCGTGATACGAGCTACAACGACGCCTCCGATCTCGCAGATGTAGCCACTTTAGGTGCTTCAGATCCCGTTCCTCACAAACAGAAGCAGGTTCCACAGCAACCTTTGAATACAGACAACCGCACGTGTCAGGATATCATCAGAAGTGTGGGGTAATTTCCTACTTCCTGAATATATTTTTCACTTCGGTGCAGCATATTTGTCCACAGTGAAATTTAGCAGAACTTTTCCACCTGCAGTAATATTTTTAATATGTCTTGGTTGTCGAGGCCTTTTTATTAGGTTACATGTTGCTTACGGACTAGATTACCTTAGTGAGTTTTGTCATCTAAAAGTAGACTGGTGCAGACTGGAGTTATTGTCTATGATCTGCAAAGAAGCCCACTTTTGATGTTGCGGGTCAAAATTTATTAAAGGTATGTGGATCTCTGTTTTTGGCATTCTGCAGGTACCCGTACGAAGCATATCGCGTGAAGACAGAAGATGGCCATATCCTCCTACTTGAAAGGATACCAAGGTTGTACATTTGCATCTCACACTAAATATATTTAGGGGTTTTTTCTGGATTATTTGGAGAAATTGGATTCTTTCTGCTCAAGTCATTATCACAAGATCTATGTGTTATTGGGATGGACGTTATTTACATCAGTTTTAGGTTTGGTTTCTATGTGATCTAAATCTTGTACCTTGTATGGGATTTGTGGATGCGTTTCCTAATTTGTAGTGATATGCTATGAATTATTCGACTTGCGTCACAAGTCCTCATGAAAGGTTTAAAAGGGACTGTACAAAAGGTTGCTTATTTTATTTTTGTAACTTGTAGGCGAGAGTCACGAAAGGTGGTTATGCTACAGCATGGAATTCTCGATTCTTCGCTCAGGTGAGCTACAACTTAATCGCTTCCAGTGTTTCTGTGGATCTGCATATCCACTGCGTCTCGATTAGTGTCCTCTATTAATGTTACCTGATTGGAAGATTATTCTTTGTGCTCGTTAATCAGGGCTCACCTGTAGGCATAAAATTGTTTTGAAGGTTTCTTTCTATGGGCTCTGTAAGTTCAAGTCTTGACTGTTAAGCTTTTGAAGATTTACCAAGACATCTGCTGAGAAGTTGGGAACCTTGACACATTATGTTGTGACACAGCTGGGTCTCGAATGGAGTCGTTGGATCCCAAGCCTTCGCAGCTTTTGACCAAGGTAATAAAGTTTTTCCTGAGTATTTGGAGAATCCCCTAAAACTCTTCCTATCCATTTGATTTGGCTTAATTTTTTTTGTAATATTAATCTTTTATCAAGAGAAATATGCTTCCTAATTTCGAATTGTCACTTTCAGTGAAGGTCGCCATCAGTCGTTAGAGGATAAATTGGTGGAAATCAACTTGGGATGTCTCCTAACTCAGTTTAATACCATTATATTCAGCGTTGGAAAACTGATCTGTGTTTTCTGTATAGGTTATGATGTGTATCTGGGAAATCTGCGGGGATTGGCATCAAGAGAACATGAGGATGAACACATCTCACCTCAAATGTGAGACTTTACTCTTGTAATATATATCATATCTACATTTGCGGACTGTTGAGCTATTTGACTAGATTATTAAATGCTGTATGTAAGTCGTCACTCATGGTATCGTAGTTCGCCAAACAGTTGAAATCTAAAAAATTCTAGCGTTTGAGTATATTTAGGGTAAGGCCACAGATTCTTGTGCTATTTGTAAGGTTCATGAGGAATCTATGCAGATACTGGAGTTTTTCGGTAAATGAGCATGGCACGCAAGATATTCCAGCCATGATATCGAAGATACACGAACTCAAGATGATGGAGTTACAAGATTCACCGCATTCAGGGATCCAGAATGGTGAGATCTCTCAGTATGTGGACGACGATCCCAAGAAACTTCCTTACCGACTCTGCGGGGTAGCACACAGCTTGGGGGGCGCTGCAATGTTGATATATGTGGTGACAAAACGCCTCGCAAACAGGCCCCATTATCTTTCAAGATTGATCCTTCTTTCTCCAGCTGGGTTCCACGAAGCTGCTCCCTTGGCTCTAAAGTTGTGTTGTTATGTTGTACCGTTCTCAGCTTGTTTTATCAGCCTTTTCATGCCTGGTATATATATACCCACAAGATTCTTTCGGGGTCTTTTCAACAAGTTGTCTCGAGACTTTCAGAATTACCCCGCGTTGGGTGGTTTAGCCCAAGCTATTTTTAGCTATCTAATCGGTGGAGACAGCTCTAATTGGGTGGGAGCAATCGGGGTGTCGCATTACAACATGAACAATATGCCAGGTGTGGCTGTTCGAGTTGCTGTCCATCTTGCCCAGATGATGCGGGCCAAGCGCTTTATACTGTATGATTATGGGAGAAGGGAATTGAATATTCAGGCATATGGCACTCCCTATCCACTGGACGTTGGAGCCAACTATGGTGTAATTGATATTCCTGTAGATGTTGTGGGTGGGCTCAAAGACAAGCTGATTCCACCAACTATGGTCAAGAAACACTTCGAAACTATGAGGAGTGCGGGTTGCCAAGCATCTTATTCAGAGTTTGAGTTTGCTCATTTAGATTTTACTTTTGCCAATCGTGAAGAGCTTATGGCCTATGTCACGTCTCGTCTGTCACTTGTAGCACCTGTCCCTGGCACCATCATTGAGCCTCTTGAAGAAACACAAAGTTCACGGAAACTGACCGGATCTCTTTCTCGCAATTCCTTCAAAGAGAGACGCCTTGGCAAGTCTTCGAATGGATAATCTAGGAACGGGGAAATGCAGGAGGACAGAATTATGGAAGAGTTGCCAGAGGTGACTGCCACTGTAAAGTCACCTCCTGCATCGAAGCTAAAATCCACTTGACCTCCCTCCGTGTTGCGACAGGTATTCGGTATATGCTGCAGTTTTGGGATTCTTTGCCTGATGAATCTTAGCATTCTACGAGTCTTTAGCATGATTGGAGAGAGCAGTTTTCGATCCTAGTAGAATTTGCACAAATAGCTGGATTTTTCTTCATGTCGATATGATCGTATGTAAGTGGCTTGACCCAACCCGAGGATCCTTGGAGTGCAATCCAGAGTTGAGCAGTAGCGGGACCTTTGAAGGTAATCTAGTAGGGACAGTCTCAAAGATTTGAGGCGCCAATTGTACTATAGAATGTATTAGTTGATCATAATGATTCTTGTATGTATTGAATCAGATGGAACAACACCTATCTGATGCAAATTTTGATTCAATCGAATCTTCGAATTCTATTTGTTGATCCTAATATCCAGGCCACAAGTAGGCCGTGCAAAGAATTCAAGGGAACTAGTGTTATTTTATTCTAATGCACCACCTGGTAGACTTTGTGTTGATTATGAATTGAAGGTAGAGACTGCGCCTTATCAAACTATGTTAGTTATCACACCTCCGTTGGCTAGCGAAAACCCAAAAAATATATTTTTTTCAAAAAAAAAAAAATGAACAAAATGATTTCAACAACAAACGATCTTTTCAATTTCCTGACAAGAAAATTATGCAAGAAGATACCATGGAATTTGTTATTAACACAGTTAACAAGGAAATCGTCCAACAAAAATAAATCTATGGACATTCAAAAGGTAAAAACTTATCGACAAATTCCATCCAAAATGGTGGATGTATATGTGGCAACACGCACTAGTTAAGCCATGACGTGGTCAAGTTTGCCGGTCTACTTGCAGGCCTAGAGTGGGGCGCCGCACAGCCGCGGGTTGCTGGAGCTGGAATCTGTCGGCAGCAAGATTGCGTAAACTCCCAGGGATTTGCCTTGCGAAACGAGCAGTCCCACGGCGATGATGAGTAGGAGACGAGCAGAATCAATGTGACAGATTGCACATGAACAGAGGAATACTGAAGACCATGCAATGCATTTGAACAGAATGGAGGGCTTTGAGAGGGTTGCACCACCTGAGAGGTTGAAAGCATAAACTATGAAAGAATAAACTACAACACAAATATGTCTTACAACATGGCTTGCTGGTCTAATACATACATAAGTATCAATACTGGAATAACCAACAACAACACTGTTTATTGAATGTTACGAGGATGGTACATATACTGATTCAGGAGAGTGAATGAACAAAAGTTGTCCACGAGCCTGCTCACCTACGAGCCTAGTTGACAGAATCCATTGACTTGAAGTGGATTTCTCCAATATCCTCCCGCACTTTGAGGCTTTTACAATTTGTATTTTGATGAGACAGAGGAGTTGAGGTATTACAAGTTTCTTGTGTTGTAGAAGGATGCATGGTCAGACGAGGTTAAGTTGTCACGATGTTCAGTCATTTTCACTGGTGAATCTATATGTTTGAATCAAAGATAAGAAATCAGATCAGTTGCAAATGTCTATCTTTGAGGCGTGATTTTAAGCATTGATTAATATTTTTCAGTTTCAGATGTTCTTGTTGAGCTTCTGGTTTTTTCTGGCAGCATTGCATCGGATTTGCGGTTGGTGTTTGGACAATCTTTGTTTATTGCTACGTCTCCCTACGAATAATAGAGATTTTGGTAATGTTCTATCGGAGGAGTTTGGCTCTGCTGGTGGTCAATTGCGATTCTATGTGGTTTGTCGTGGTCGATGCAGTAGAGTTTACTACAAGTGGTCGGATTGCGAAAGGCAAGTGACTACGTTTTAAGGTGTGATCTGTAAGAACTTTAGGACTATGGAAGAGGCAAAACTATTTATGCTTAAAAACTAGGGTTTTTAGAATTTTACTATGCTGTAATCTATCTTAGGAATCTGATAATAAAGTTGAGTCTCTTATTCCCATTTCACTTTTGAGTTTCACAAATTTTTTTCTACCTAAAGCATTGGTAAAGATGTCAGCAATCTGATCATTGGTTAAAATATAGAACAAATCTATTCTTCCAGTAAGTGTGTTTTCTTGTATATAATACAACCACATCTCTATGTGTTTGGATTTGTCATGACATATCAGATTTCAAGCAAATTTTAGTGTGCTCTAATTGTTACAGAAAATTGATATAGGTTCTTATTCTGTTCTATGCATTTTGGATGCCAATGTCTGAAGCCAAATAGCTTCACAAATTCCTTCTGCTAGTGCTCATGCCTCTACATCTGTTGATGAAATGGCTACATTGTATGGTTATTTGGATGCCCACAAAATTGGTCCTCTTATTGATTTGAATACTCATTCAATGACTGATTTTTTGTCGATCTAGCAATTAGTCCAATCAGAATCTATAAAGCCTAGAAATATTGAGTTGTGGCTTCTTTCATAGAAGATTTCGAGTTGTAGAGTATTTTTGATGTATTAGAGAACTTGATTTACAGCTTGTAGATGTGGAACTTAAGGATTATTCATGTATCTGCTAGGGACTCCCGTAGCGAAGGAAATTTCAGGAATTTTCGGAATTGCTTTGCATCAATTTGTGGTGAGTCTACTTTGCTATCAAGATTGAATCCTTCTGTTATAGCTGTGGATATAGGCCATAATCAGCCTTTGTTCTGTAGAATTTTAACACCTTGAGCTGTAACTTATTTTAAGATTATACTTGTGGTTGTTGTCAGCATTTTCAAATAATCCCTTCAGAAAATCCCATAAACACCTGGATTCATTGTAGTCAATTAGGACCGTGAGTAGACTTGGTCTAATGGACATTGTGAATATAAACATGAGACGTTTGGCTTTGTCTTTGGAGTCTTCACTATTTGAGCTGCAAGAGTCTTTCTTGTTTTGTGAGGAGGTGCTATAAGAGGGTGGTGAAAGCAAATGACAAAGCTTTTCACGCTTTATGATACGGGTTACCATGTATTTCTACAAGTGGAAGTTAAAAGAACCCGCAAGTTTAATCTCATCTAGACCAAGGATCACCTTCAACATTGCTAGTCTATGGTGGAGGATGGAAAGAGATGAGAAAGATATCAAACAAAGCTAGCAAGTTGTTTTCAAGGAAACTAGTCAAGCTCTGATACCATGAAAGAATAAAACTATGAAAGGTTAAACTACGACACAGATATGTCTTTCAACATGACTTGCTGGTCTGATACATACATAAGTATTAATACTGGAGTAACTAACAACAACACTATTTATTGAATGTTACAAGAGTGGTATATATACTGATTCAGGAGAGTGGATGAACAGAAGTCGTCCACGAGCCTAGTTGACAGAATTTATTGACTCAAAGTGGATTACTCCAACAGTTGCTGCCGCTGAATTTGGTGCCCGGACGCGCACCTAGTTCAAAGGGACCATAGCTGGACGGAATCAGACCATGCAGCTTGTTGTTGCCGACGTCGAACTTGATGAGGTTCAGGTCGCCAATGCCAAGTGGGAAAGGGCCGGTCAGCTGGTTTCGGTGTCTAGTATCGCTTCCCAGATATAGAGAAGAAAGCGACGTCAACTGGGTTAGTGCCCCTGGGAACTGGCCCTGGAGTTTGTTGTTGTTCAGGTGAAGGACGAACAACTTTTTGCAGTTGGCGATCTTGGGTCAGATGGAGGTCACGTTGGTGCCAGAGATGTAGAGCTCATTCAAGTCTTTGATGTTGCAAAGCTCGCCTATGATCTGGCTTGTGAAGGGGTTGCCCGCCAGTCGTGGAGTGCCTCTGGAGCCTATAGGCTTTGGCGTGCCGTGAACCTTGAGGTTGCCAAGCCACTTGGGTATGCAGCCCGAGATTTTGTTGTCGTCAAAACTCACAAAGTCGAGCTTTGTTAGCTGGGTGATCTTGGACAAACGGATGGTTGTTAGTCCGTTTTAGGGGAGAGAGAGAATGCGGAGCTCCTTGAATTTGCCAAATGAATCCTGGCATGTAGAATATCAAACATGATGAGGTTTAATAATTATGTTCCGGAAGCAAACATAACTTGTTCAGCACACTGTCACTTTAAAGAGAAAGCTCTTTTTTAGAGTGTGTAATGGTTTACCGGAATGCCACCAGTCCACTGATTGCCGGTCATGCTCAACTCTGACAGCGGGGCGAGATTGCCAATAAACTCAGGACTCCTGCGGATGAAATCACGATTTTCTAAAGTGAATCTTTCAAGTTTGACAAGTTTGCCGAACTGCGGAGGAACAGCGTAAGCAAACCTAAATGAAGCTCTTCGCATAACCAGGGTGGTCAACTCCGTCAGGTCGCCAAGAGAAGCTCCTGGATTCCGAACTCCGAGCTTCACCTTCACCTGGTATCCTGCCGGAATAGTTTCGTCGTCGAAAGAATCCGTCAAATAAGTTGTGTTAATCCTTCCTGCCCCATTGCATTCGACCACAAACAGAAACCCCCAGTTACAGCAACTCGAACCCGGCTGCCACGCATTCAGAGGGTTCTCGGGATTGTCGAGCTGGGATTTGAATTGCAACAGCTTGTCTCGATCTCCAGCATTGCATATGGGCATCCCGTCTTGAGCTGAACTGCTACTGAAAGTAGCTAAAAAAAAATCCTAGAACCAAAAGCACGACTGCCCTCATGTGCCGAGGCTTATCGAACAATGGTATCCTACCCATCGTCCCAAAACTCGACCGATTCGCCGCATACACCACGACTGTGAACACTCCGATTCACAAACTACGATTAAAATAAGCTACAGTATCAGGTTAGATCTTACGAAACAAAACAGAGACTTTTCCACAGTAATTCAAGAAGAGACAAGAAGCAACACATGTGGGATTCCATATCCCAGACGGATTGCAAGCGTTGACGATCTTCGCGGTGTCACAATGTCAACGCTTCACATTGCTAATTGGGGCGAGAACCCCGAACTTTCGTACAGCTAGGGCTGATAATCGACAATCCTACGAGTTCACACGAGGTTGCGATCGAGGTCTTGAATTGCAGCGAGCACCAAAGTCGAGGGATTTCAGCAATAGCAAAGCCAATACGGACTTGCCCTTGATGAGGCTGAAGAAACAACAGCAGTCGACTTTGATTTTTGGAACCAGCCGGTAAACCAGGAAGTACTGGCAATTCAAACATCACTTTACGATTGCTTTGAGGTACTAACTGCCGCCATAAACCAATTGCAGTTTCCACACTTTATTTTTTCATAGCTTTTAGAATACAACCAATTTTGTTTCATTTTATATCATATTATGATAATTTCTTTAATACTAAACCAACGATAAGACACAACTATTTGAATATGCTTTCCTGTAACTTTGTCAACAAAAATGTTTTACGACATAAAAGGTGACATGTGAAGATGGTGGACGTTGGGTGTAAGATGATTCTGGTTGGCACATTCACAGGCACTGGCGCCCCAACTTAATTTCTGAGCATGAATCTACGATAGAAGTTCACACTAATGTTTCAAATGACAACGACAGCCTTACTCACACCAGCTTGTTTCAATATTGTTATAATTTATTATTTTCTATACATTAAGTTGCCAGCTGGTTCTAACATGAGATAGTGCGATAAAAGATAAAAATAAATACGACAGAGCCCATCATTAGTTCAATCGTAGTTGCATTGATGCCAATCAATAGACGTAACCATGAACACAGCAACTAAATCATATTATGATGGAGAGGCTAAATACCGAGAACGTAGGGAATCCCAAGGTATACTTTCTCAACATTAATGGCATAAAAGGAAATGATCCTCCAATATCGTCACAACAGACCGCCAAAAGATGTGAATATGGAATAGAAGAAACCGAGAGCACTACAAGTATAAAAAAGGTTCGATATTCATTTCCACAGCTGAGCATGGATCTATGATGTCGAAACGCTGCATAACCTGTTTCAGGCACAGAGACGGAAAGTGAGCTGAGCGGAACATTTGATGGGGTGTGCAGCAAACAGCATACTGAACAAGCACGCGAGAATTCAACTGAATAAGCATTCCGAATAATGAACATGCAAGGCACAGACCTCAGGATTTACGATTCCGAAGGAGCCAATGCAGGATCCTGCACACATGATGTTGGCTTGCCGTCCCGAAAAGTATTCAGGCTCCTGAAGCAGATAGAAAAACTTCTGGTTAGCTCATTGTGAGATGGAACATTAATGTAGAAGGATCTATAAATAGTGAAAACAAGATAAGGGAAAACCTCCCTACTTCACAGGTGAACGTGAAAAAATCACAACCAAGACATTTTAGTCTAGGACAACAGAAGCTCGGACCTAGTATAACCTTGTCTGCCTGTTTCGGTACTTCATTGAAATTCTTGACAGTTTCACCAAAGTTACAACCGTTCAGCCGACTAGGTCAGCAGAGATGCATAGCCTCAACACAGTACTACATCGCTACTTCCTTCACTTCTAAAGAAGGTACAATCCAGTATATATCACAAGCGTACACCGCAGAAGACTCTATAATGAGACAAGAAATTGAGAGAGTGCATACAGTATCGTACCTGTGATGGAGTAATATAATAGCCATCTCCACTGAAGGTTCCAGACACTTTATCAAATTCAGCAGGTCGAATACCGACAACCTCGAACACTCTGTCAACAAGACCATGGATAACCTAATTGCAAACCCAAAAAGGCAGTTAGCACCCAACAAGAAAAACGAACGTTCTTCACACTGTAGAAGGAATTCCCTTTGCAAAAGCACTAGACTTACAGATAATTACATCCTAATGAATGCTAAGATGAAACAGCGTCTCAAGGCGAACCAGATGGACAGAGCCAGGGTCTGCACTAGGTTCTTAGCGCACCTCAAATCCGGAATTCAAATTGGAGTAAACAGCAACAAGATGTCTGCTGTTCTTTGCACCCACGTCCTCTTTACTGTTCAGTCTAACGACGTCGGAAACCTCGAAGAGCTGCAATGAGAATTACCCCCTTATCAGTTTAATCATCAATACTAAGATTATAATAAAGCGACAATGAAGGTATCAAGAGAGAGGATAATGAGATGAAACCTTGAGTGGTCTAGGAGCATCTTTGTTGGAACCCATGGTCTTTAAAATCCCTGGAAGCAAACTTGAGCGTACTGCCTGCAATAACGAAGCAGAATCTAAATCGTGACTATCCATCAGAAAGGTATCTCCCATCAAAAACCCACCTACAATGAAACCCTGATAGAGCTTAAGTTATTGATGCTTATAGCTGTATGAACACCATCGGCAGAAATGTCACCTCGAAATCAGCAGACCTCGGATTGCCAATGATTACGGCTGTATTCCCGTCATCCTCTCGGTTAACCATCTTGAAATTCTCTTCAAGAGAACACAAAATCCAAGTGACAACTTCGGTGAATCCAGCCATTGCCACCTGCAAGTGTGACCAGACCCAAGGCAACTTGAATAAGTCAGCGTGCCAGCCACGAATGGTACAATGTGTTTGATCCAACGGACGTACATTTAAAATGCACATGCTCTGTTAGGGATTCTCGAAGTAATTTCAAGAGCAAATTTGGAACCCAACAGAAGCCTCGTACCTCTGCTCTTATCAAGTCGGTGAAGTGATTCAAAGGCTGCTGTTTCCCTTGAGTATGTGACTTCGGCACAGTCCTTATTATATTGTTGTAACCATACGCTATGGCAACATCCTGCAAAGAGCAGCACCTCGAGTGCGTCACTTTCCCATCAACTGCCTATCACAAAATTCAATACAAGCATGAAACGGATACAAGAGATAACACCAACCTCAGCAATATCGCAAGCATGCAGAACATCGCTTCTTGTAGGCGGAGCCGACACTCGAAGTTTTGAGTCAGGTTGAACCTCAGTGTAGAGTTGCATCTTGTTAAGCAACTTGGAGACCTGCAACACAACAATTCCGAAGATATTATGCTAAATGCTACTTTTTAAGTTGAATGATGTACAAGTCGAACCATACATCAATATGTGCGACACATTACAAATTCTTGCAAGTAATACTTTCGATAAGTGTTCGCCTTTCCTTCAGAAAGGAGTTCATCCCGATAGTTGAATTTATTGTTCGAAGGGCTACATAAAGTAATAGACGTAGATCAGATTCCTCGAACATTAAATCCGACTCCGCCCAACAGGAATGTGATGGGGGTTTCAGAACCTATATCCAGAGTGGTAATGATATTATGATAAATTACCTCTTTGGCCTCTAGTGAAGTTCCGATAGTTCGATTGACGTAAGCCATATCCACCTCAAAGGTACGAAGTGAAAGATCAGGGTACCGTGTAGACTTTCCGTCAGCTGAGACCACCTCCACAGGCTCTACTTCAAACTGTGGGCTGCTGTACTGCGAGAACATTGTAACCTGTCCCCCGCAACCAAAGCAAAACACAGTTATTCAGTAAAACCTGGACAATAGTAACAATGAAAAATGGAACTAAGATTAATGAGAAGGATTGGCGCCAACCAGAAGAATGGCATACCATAGTGTTTAGGACAATCTTTGCTTTGGTCAAATCAGTAGCTGTGCATTCTATAAAGACGTTCTTTGTCTTCAAAGAAATTGCCGAATGTGCTCCGTTAATAATTGGGGGCAATGACAACACTCTCCTGATAGATCACAGCGAAACAGGCAATTGAGCCCCTAGAGAGAAAAACCAAATCAATCTGAGTGCATTTAAGGACATGAGAACGGGAGCACGAAAACAATGTAATGCATAAATCGCCTGACGGAAAAGAATTGATTTGACAAATTCGTCAGCTGACATTCTCAGATCTTTAAAATCTAATACAAGAAAAAGTATTTAAGAAAGTTACCTCTTGCTGTCGTAGATAACAGGGTAGACTGGAGAGCTTTCAATGATATGTAGAAACTTCTTCAATTTCATGTCTGACTGTAAGAATAACGTAACACAATTAGCCTCTACTTCTCAAATTAATTGGTAGCTTTCTTTCTTCCGCTTCGGTTGAAGCCCAATTGTCACCAAACGCAAATGATGTCCCTAACAAATTTGCCAGCAGGAACGCTCATATATTTGCAAAGTTCAAAACTAATAAATATTAATCACAAAAATTCACAGGGGAGCGACCTTGTAAAACTCAATTAATTCGGCACCATTGAACTCTTTCGTCTGCACACACACACACACACACACACACACAACATCATGATGAGAAAAGAACATACATCAAGTAATCCAGTGAAAAAATTCATGCAAACTCACAATAAACTGTACGGGTCTTCAAAATAATGCCTCTGAACTAAGAAGGCTCCATTTCGTGAACACATGAGAACAACCCTACCTGCTTGAGAGGAACGAATTTAATATCAGCTGGTCGGAGAGCCTGCACCAGGAATATTTAAGTGAGATAGATCCAATATTTGCAGACCAATTTCTTCGCGCGATTGAAAATTACACAAGCTGATGTAAACTAAGGATTAAAGATGAACAGTTTATACGAAGTTACAATATCATTGTTATGTATTAGTAATACTGCGATGTTGTGCTAGCAACCGCGACGTTAAACAATGGAAGTTTAAGGTTGAGACGTGATATAACCTCGTAAGTGAAAGGACCTTCAAGCACATCAAGATCATGGGTCCCTATAGCAACCAAAGTCCTTCTCCTGCAAATTGACAAAATAATACACCTTGCTGAGGCGTAGGTCGAAAGACGTAGACAGAGAAGGCTAAGTCCAAAATAGATACGTGAATGAACTTAAACGCACCATAAATGAAACAAAAGCAGGAGAAACAGAGGAATGACTGCGTAGAAAGATTCGTATTGTCACTACATAAATGAACCCCTGGTTTAAGGTAGTGAAGTGCAAGCATACCTACACAAGTTCTGATGAAGCTTGTCTTGAAGGTCAATGAAACTACTGTAACGCGCTTCATCAAATGTAACTCCCCGGAGCACCGCACAGACCACATGCGGCCTAATTAACGAAGTCTACACATTTGCATGAAACACATGAATATCACTCGAAATCAAACAATACATTAATACAGCACAGAGACGCCATCACTAAGTCAGAATTTACAAAAAACAAAAAAAAACAAAACAAAACAAAACAAAACAAATACGCGTTTAACATCCGGAACACTTCTACTGAATTTTTTCTAGAACGTAAAACAGATTGCTTGAACTTCTGCGCACCTCTGGTTTGACAACCATCTTCTGTATCGAGCTTGCTGGAACCTCAGACACACGAAAACTGGGAATAGGGTCTTTCCCAGTGAATACTCTTAAGGCCTTTGCCAGGCCTTCCAAGCACAACAAGTCATACCTGTCAACAAGGACAAAGAAGTCTAGCCAATTAAATTAAAGGGCTTCTTAAGTTCTCCTACGCTTTGTATTTGGAGGTACTGTAGGAAAACACCTCAAAGCTTTCCCAAGAAAGGCTTTGTAAAAAGTTTTGATACACATATATATATATATATATATATATTTGTTTTTTTTCGTTCAATAGTTTGTTATTGCTGCTTCTTTAATTTATTTTAATTTTTATTCCTTGGAAGGTACGTAAAAGAGCAGTAGCAATAAATACCGGTTAGCAGGTACGTCAATCTTGTAAATGATCTCTTCATCTGCACTTGCCTCTTCATCCATATGCTTCTCCTTTCGCATCACCTCCTTCTCGGTGGTCTGCACAATCAATTCACTTTGCACTTAAACCATGACGGAAGCAATTCAGAACCTGCTGCGAACACAACGCATATCAAAGTGAAGTAAACGAGAGTCACGAGAGGCCACTTACCACATCATCAAGCTCAATGCCAAACTCAAAGCAGAGCTCATCGAATTCCTGGTCAGCTACACCAGCGAAATCTCAAGCGTGAATACGTCGTGACGAATAATCAAACAAAATCCAAGAGCAGAGAACCCAAATCCAAGAAAAAAACAATAAGATCAAGTAAAAACACTCACTGTACGTCTGCTCCAACGCAGCAAAGAGACGATCCCGGCCTACACTGACGATCGGCATGACGACCCGCGCCCTAACAGGACAACACCACTTCCTTCAACCCTGCACAGATCCGTTACAAATAAAACACTTCCCAAAAACTGCGGATAGAAAGTGGTAACCTCATCAATCCAGAACAATATTATCCAAAAAGAGAAAAGGGAAACACACTCTCAAAAGCAATTTGCACATCTCAATCCGTCAAAGACCGGCACGCCTCTCTCTCTCTCTCTCTCTCTCTCTCGCTCGCTCGCTCTAGCTCTCCACACCCTGAACCCTAAAACCCTAAACCTTAGCAACGTCATACGGAGCTCCGCATTGCAGACATCCACAGAGGGAGAGCTCACCTCGTCCAACCGCAATGCAATGAGGTGAGCCTGGAGGTTCGGAATGCAAGGACGATCAGGAAAATGGAGAGATCGAAGGCTGTGGCTATGGAGTGAGTGAGGATTAGTCCCCCCCAGCAACAACGAACAACGCTCTTGCTCCTCGTCGTCGTCAAAGCAGAGACACCACGAGTCTGGTCCTTCTTTGCGATGAAAAGACTGGTTCCACATTCACCCTTTTCCCACCGCAGGGGGGGGACACTGGAGATCGACCTTATCGTATGTCTTTATGTAACGTGATTAGTCCATCCATCAACATTCATCCACTTTCGTCTACGTTCATCTATCGTGTGATTCCTTATCATCCATTACCATGTGGTTTGAGGACTTACTCATTATACTATTGTGGTCAATTCTTTTGTTTTCTATGTCTCTCATTTATATTCTTTCATGAAAACACCTTCATTTCAATTTTTAATAATTTTGTGTTTTACATTAGCACATATTAGTATAGATGTTGTACAATAACTTATGAGATTTCTAATCTATAAAAGAAATATGTTTGATTAAAAAGTGTTATATGCTTGTTTGGCTTCTAATTCTTTTCAATTTTCTCTTTTACATGTTTGGTTTATTCTTTTATCCTTTTGTGTTAATTTGATTGTACTTTGAATAGAAGGTATTTTCAAAGATAAGTAAATGAATAGTTGACAAATTTCATTTGTGTTCTCAATGCTATTTGAAATAATGTAATCATTTATTTGGCATTCAAAAAAGTAAATATATTTATAACATTTGAAGACTAAAAATTTATACATATAATATATCAAGTTTATATTATATGAATGTCTATACATGTTCATATTTTTCATATTTGTTGTGTTTTCATTTGTATATTTTAGAATTTAATAAAAATATTTTGTAAAATTTGTAAGTCTTAAGAAATATTAGAAGATCAAGTAGTCAACAAAGTTCAAATGCAAAAGCATTTAAAATATAAACCAAGGATTATAAAAAAATTAGATGTGGATAAGTAGGATAAATTAGATCCATCAATATAAAAAATCTTTACTTACAATGCCAAGATATATACTAGGTCTTTTGCAACTATATCTATCTATCTACCTATCTATCTATCTATAGGAATATTAAATAGATTCATATTTTTATAAAATAGACCCACTCTTAATAAAGAATATAGTAAATATAATGAATATAGTTGATATTATTGGTTATAGATTCAATAACAAAGAAATGAATCTATATGTCATTTGTTTTTATTTTTTTTCATGATAGTTTGAATAGGTGATTTGATTTAGTAAAAACTTGTATTTACTTAATATTATCCTATATATAGTTTAAAAATTAATGTCATAATATATTTATATGATGCAAGATAGATGTATGTATGTATTATTTTAAAATCAAATCAAATAAAAAATAATATAATCTATAAGGCTATTAGATAAAAAATCAAAACTATTATAGATTTATATACTTTCTATATATATATATATATATATATATATATATATATATTCTTTGATATTTCTTAAAAATATAAAATATAGATTATTGGAATTTTATTAAATTTAACATCTAAGTATTTATTAATTTCAAACAAGTATATATTTGGTTATTGTAAGAACATAAATTGATATAATTAATATCAATTTATATTCTTAAAATAACCAAATATATATATATATTTGAAATTTTAAGATTGATAAATTATTATAAATATATATATATATATATATATATATATATATATATAAATATATATATATATAAGTAAAAAATCAAAATAAAAATCTAATTAAAGAATCACTTGCTAGTTTTTTCTATTTGAAACAAGAGCCAATTGTATTACCAAACGCACTATATCTTACTATTTATTCAAAGAAGAACATGTCATTATTGAAGATCTTCATTCCTATAATATCATCTTGAAGGTTGTGATAATTACAATGTTAGCAAATAATAGATCTTGAGTTGAATTTGCTAGCTATTGGTTCTCTATCTCCTTAATGTTGCAATTATACAAAAACTACAAATAAAGATAGAAGATAGAATGAAATATTTTTTAAATTGTGTTTCTTTTATAACAAATGTGTACTATCTTTTATCTTAGCTTTGATGGATGTTGTTGATGAAAAGTTTTGACCTTCTTTGTTGCATTTATAAGATTTTTTGTTGGCTCTCATGTACATTTGTTAATATTGTATCCAGGCCAATGAATAAGATATTCTAATCTAAGTTGGCATTGCCTCTAGTTGAAGACTTCTTCCACCTTGAATTCTTTATTATTATCCACTTCTATAAGATATGGTGGTATCTGTTTTTTTCTCGGGATATTCATTATTTTATATGGCTCCAAAAGACATATGTGAAATATGAGATGGATTATCATAGACTTAGATAGATGTAATCAATAAGCAATTGGATTGACTTGTTCACATATAAGAAATGATCAAAGTCTATAATAATTCAACTTATCACAAAAAAAAATAGTTTTAATATTACTACAAAGTAATTGTAATAGGGTATGGAAAAGATATTTATATTATTCACACATAGGAATAGATAATTAGAACCATGGAAGTTTTTAGAATTGAAGTTAGGTTAGTGGATTAGGTGGGATCCATTATAAAATATTCTAAAAAGAATTTAAGGTGATTTTTTAGGTAGAATCTATCAAAGAATCTTCTAAAAAAAGCTATCTAAGGTATTTAAGACAATTATCTAAATGGCGTCCATAACTTAAGAATATTTTAGAAAGTCTAGGGTGGTAGAACAAAATATAAATAGGACTAGCCAAGGCCTTTTGGAGTATTTGGTCAAGTATGGCTTTAGACCCTTTCTCTTAATATAATTGGATTTTGTATCTTTTTATTTTATTTTATTATATTCTATTTTTGGTTGCTCATATTTGTCTTCCATATCCCATTGTATTTAATTCTCATCCAATTTGTCTTATATTTTGATGAGGTTTCATATTACTTGGATTAGAAGGATTTTGGACACTTGAAATAAATCGGTCTTGTTTCATTGGTATTAGAGCCACTGTTAGACTATTTTCTTTTGGTAATATGTCAATAGTCATCATCTAGTCCAAGATCAATTGTTGGAGTTACACTAAATATTGTGTTGAGGCTACGATGAGTTGCTCTAAAAAAATCAAGTGGAAGATGAGAAGGCATTCTAATAGTGGAATACATCAAAGGAATTATTGCATAGAAGATATGGCAGAGCAATTCTAGAAGGAAGCTCAAATACAACACCTCTTAGATCAAATAGCTACTTTGCAAGGGCAAATAAAAGCCTTCAAGACAAGAGAGTCGATATCTACTAGAATAAAATTAAATAAGCCTAATACTACTTTGGGACTTCAAGACAAGAAGATGTATGTCAATGGCTCTTTAACATACGACAATACATCCAACTATCTGGAGCAAATACCACTAAAAGAATTATGTGTGTAACTAGCTATTTTAGAGATGTGACAGCTATTTGATAGCAACATCGAGTTTAAAGCTATGGAGTAGATAGATTTTGTGATTGGAAGGAGTTTAAGACCAAGTTTAGGAATCAATTTTGGTCCATAAATATAGAGAAGATAGCACATAATAAGTTGGCAAATCTTACACAATCTAAGTCGATATAAGATTGTGTTTTTCGATTCAAGTCCTTATATCTTCAAATTGACAATGTTTTGGAGGCAAAGATGATGAACTAATTCTTATAAGGTTTGAAATCTAGAGTCCAATGAGAGGTAGAGCTAAGGGATCCACAAACATTCAAAGAAGCAATTTGAATTATAGATAGTATTGATGCTATAGACTTCAAAAATTGTAGAGTACAACCTATAGCACAAAGTCTTATCTTGCTATCTAATACTATGGCTCAACAATCAATACCAATGGAGATTAATGACCTACAAAGATCATTGACATTACAAAGATGACAAATATTGGTGTAAAAAAGATTGTATTTTTATTGTTGGGAGCCAAGCCATTAGAGCAGAGATTGTCTAAAACATCAAAATTCAAGCACCAATAAAACAAAGCAAGTTCATAGTCTCAAAACTCAATAAGTTGATAATGAGACAGAGCAGAAAAACAAGGCTTTTTAGTAAAGGCGCCAAGAGACAATACTAAGAATAACTACTATCTTTCAAAGACAAATAGCATGGCCTTGGATAACTATAAAAAGAATCAATTATTGCATCTAATAAGACTACTAAAAAGACAACCATATCAAATGCTTGTTGATTGTGGTTCTATAAAAAATTATATTTCAACTGAAATTATTGACTAACTTGGAATTAAAACTAAAACAATCAAGAGAAGAAGTATATACTTTCTTGAAGCCAAATGAGTAAGCAAACCAATTTATTGCTTAATACCAAAAGAACTTGAAGAGTTGCAAAAGACATTAGACGAATTCTTGGAGAAAGGCTTCATTTGACAAAATATATCACCATCGAAAATACTTATATTCTTTGTACCTAAGAAGGATGGATGACTTTGTCTTTACATCAACTATCAAAGCCTCGATAAGTAGACTGTTAAAAATACATATCCACTTCTACGCATAGATGATCTTCTTCATCAACTTTAAGTTGTGACCATCTTTAATAAATTAAATCTTTGGAGAAGATATTGGCAAATACCTATTGCAAAAGAGGATGTGAAAAAGATGACATTTTGTACCCTCTATAGACATTTTGAATGGTTGCTTTTACACTTTGGCCTCACCAATGTTCCAACTTCTTTCAAGAGTCAGATAAACAGATTATTTTGAGACCTTTTGGATAAGTATATAGTTGTCTTCATTGATAATATCCTTATATATAATAAAATCCTTAAAGAGCATAAACAACATTTATGAGAAGTATTGTACCAATTATATGATAGTTGCTTCATTGTAAGCAATCAAAATGTGAACTTTAGAAGTTGAAAGTCACTTTTTTGAGGCATGTAGTGTCCTTCAAAGATGCACACATGAAGCAGGATAAAGAGAAAGTACTAGAAGATTGGCCAACCTCCAAGGATGTTTCTAAAGTCTGCTCATTTTTAGGCATTGCTGGATATTATTATTATTTTGTTTAGTAATTTATTCATATTGCTACATCATTGACAAATCTATTGAAGAAGGATGCCCCATTTGAATGGAAAGTGAAGCAGTAAAGCGCCTTTGATA